AAAGATACATGAAAACTAGACGATACTGGGAGAAGGCTATCTGGTACTACCAACTAGACTGGCGTATGCAGAGGCGCTTAAAAAATCAAGATATATTAATATTAACCCTAGCGAGATTAATCTACTACATAGATAAAAATTATAATTAGACTCAATAATGGGAATCCTTGTAGCCAAATCAGCATTACTGATAGTTATCTGCTGATAAAATTATTTCGAAAAAAATAAGTAAAAACAGGTAAGGAAAATTAAAAAAAGCATTTTAAAGAATAAACTATTTTAGATACAAATGAGAAATCAGATCCATAAGGCAGTTGCTAGTATTGGCTTGGGCTCGTACGCTTTTTGCATAGTCAGCATTGACACCAACAGTCCAAGTTAAAAAACGTGATAAGTAAAAAGAGGAATTGGAGAATAATAGACTGGCACAATCCAAGATAATAAGTTAGGAAAAGGTAAAGTAAGGGAGCTTACAAGCAATATTCACACATACTTAAACTAGAATGTTCAAGCCATGAGAACTGCAGCCATAAAATCACATGAACCTAGGTTATACCTCTTGAAAAATAAAACAGCAAACTTGATTCAATATTTAACATAGGATATCAAAACCCAAATTCGGTTTGCTTTGCATTTTTTATTATGTATTCTACTACTATTATTATTTATGTCATTAATATTGAGTTTTTTTATTAAAATTTATTTTACATTTTCGATTATATGCAAATCATAGGCTAGTAAGTGCACATTAGATGTAGTCATAAAATTAGGTCTTTCTTCAAGTGTGAACATTACCTGCCTCTCTTGTTACCCGGTGGAGGGGTGCGAGATGGACTACGTGAAGGAGAACGACTACTGCTACACGAAGAAGAAGTGGTTGGGGACCTCTGCCGACGAGGACGAGGCCCATCATTAGTATTACTCCCAGCCGTTTGGGCATGCGTACTTGCTCCCGTTGTGGTCTGCCCGGCAGTGTTGCGCTTGCTTGCAGAACCAGATTCATTACGAGGTCGAGACAATGACCTAGACCTGGAACGAGAACGTGAGCGCATAAAACCCCCCCCAGGGTCAGTGGACTGTGCTCCCGCAGTACTGGCAGAGCTAGTATTAGCAAGGGAGGCCCCAGCTCTCAATCCAGTGGTTGAAGAACGAGCCACTGGAGAACGAGAACGCGATCTCGAACGTGAATGAGATCTGGATCGCTGACCAGAACGGGACCGGCTGTTTCGAGAAGCTGAACGGCTTCGAGATTTGGGCGACCGAGAGTCAAGTCGTGATCTGTCGCGTCGATCCCGGCTACCTCCAGGTCCATTGGCTCTATGATGATCATCCCGGTAACGAGGAGGAAGGAAGCCACCACGATCCCGGTGGCCGCTGCCATCGCGGCGCCTATCGTCATACCTGAAAAATAAAAAAAATAAAGTAGGCGATTGTGGAATAGCTTATTTGTGCTTAAATAGACTTATTATAAGCATTTTTCATGTAAAAAACGAAGTAGGCAAAGCCAAAGTTCTTATTTTTCCTAGGGTTCCCTGGAGGTTGGAATACTTAGCCGTTTCTATATAAATCATAAGGATTTCACATCGATACGA